CTTAGAATTTCACACTCTCCCATTTTTCCTTTTTTGAGGACTTTTGTGCTCTGCCAGCTGCTGTACAAAGAAAAACACAAAAATAAGAAAAAAAATGCATATCCTTGGAAATACAGCCTTTCAATCCATTAAAAAAAAAAAAAAAAAAATTTAAACCTAGGGGATCAGTTTTAACTATGAAATACACATTTGCATTCAACCATACAACCAAAAAAAAAAAAAAAAAAGTACGGTGTGTTTCCAACACTAAATTCAAAACCCAATTCAAGCAGCATGGCTAACATTATGTTGCTTGGAGAACAGGGGCGTGGGAATAAAAAAAAAAAAAAAAAAAAAAAAAAAAAAAAACCTACTTGTCTAAAAGGACCAAAATCGAGGGCCTAATCTACTTGTCCTGATAAAAAAAAAAAAAAACCCCACAACAAAGTGCACATTTTTTTTCAGGTAAAAAAAAAAAAAAATTGGGCATTTACTCTTATTTTAAGAACCAGGAAAGCATCACACCAGCAATCAGCAGATCGTGAGTGCAATGCAGGACTCCTGGAGACTGTCAGTGTAAGCTGACTGCCCATGTAGTTGAATCATTCACAAAACTCTGTAAATTAATGACATAGCCGCCATGGGCAGGGAGACTTCTCATTCTGCTGTCACAGAGGACTGGGATTGCCGAACCGCTGCAGGAACAGAAACATGTCACATATTCCACCCTAATAACGGGTAGAACATGTAACATGTTCCTGAAGGTGAAGCTAACCTTTAACCCTTTCGATGCCAGAGCAGATTTTGCTGTTTTTTTTTTCCCCCCCCAGATGCTTAAAAAAAAAAAAAAAAAAAAAAAAAAAAACCCTCACTTTAGGCCTGGAAATGACATAAACATTATATATTTTCTGAAAGCAAACACCACAGAGAATAAAAGAATGGTAATTCCAACTTTGTATGCCTCACAATGTTACCGCAAAAGGTCTAGGAAATGCAAAATTTCAGTTAAAAAAAAAAACACTAAAGTTAACTTTAGGGCACAAACATGCAATAAATGACTAAAATTTTTGGGAAAATATAAAAGATGAGGTTGCATTGAGCAAATAGATATCCATCATGTCAAACCTTAAATTTGCATGCACCCGTGAAATGGCAGCAAACTTCAGTACCTTATATTTTCTATAGGCGACACTTTGAAAACCTGTTAGGTCATCAGTTTAGCTTTAAGAAGTTGACCAGTGCTAAAATTATTGCAGTCATTCTGGCATGCACGGTGATACGTGTATTGCAATCGATAGTTTCATGTGTAGGCACCCAGACACGCACGTTTATGCTTGTACATGCATATGTGGAGGGGGGCCTCAATATTTTAGGGAGGGAATGTTATGTGCAATGTGCTATGGTGTAACTAAGTTTTCACAATTTCTTTTTTACTTAACTTTTTTTTTCTTCTTCATCACACGGGGGATAAAAAAAAAAAGATAAAAAAAAAAAAAAAGGTTAAGTAAAAGAACCAGTCACTTTTTGGTGAAAGGTTCTCTTTGAGACCTTGAATTGCTCCAAAGAGCCTGCCTGATTGCTTCTACCTGACAAGTAAATCCTGCTTCTTGCCTGCAGAAGGGATAAATGTAGAAGAAAACTAACTGCTCGGCGCCTGGAACTGCATGTCCTGGGCGTCGACTATACAAATGGCGCATCCCTGGAGCAGCTTGCTCACAATGAACTAGGATATAAAAGCAGAAGGTTGCAGATTAATCAATTTGAAACTAATGATGTTTAGACTCTTTCAAAAAGCAACCCAATTTACTGGTATTTTTCAAAGATAATGGGCTGACTGAACCATGTAGGTGGCAGGAGGAAGTGGACAAACTTTAAAGTGACACTAAACTTTGGTTGACAAAAATAAACTATATATTTTACACACACACACACACACACTATATTGCTAAACGTATTGGGACACCAGCATTTACACGCACATGAACTTTATTGGCAGTCTTTGTCTGTAGGGTTCAATATTGAGTTGGCCCATCTTTTGCAGCAATAACAGCTTCAACTTTCTGGGAAGGCTGTCCACAAGGTTTAGGAGTGTGTCTATGGGAAGGTTTGACCATTGTTTCAGAAGCGAATTTGTGAGGTGAGGCACTGATGTCAGACGAGAAGGCCTGGCTTGACAGGCTAGTTAAGTTCCTCAAGCCCAAACTCGCTTATTCATGTCCTTATGGACCTTGCTTTGTGCACTGGTGCGCAGTCATGTTGGAACAGGAAGGGGCCATCCCCAAAATGTTCCCACAAAGTTGGGAGCATAAAATTGTCCACAATGTTCCGGTATGCTGATGCCTTCAGAGTTCCCTTCCCTGGAATTAAGGGGCCAAGCCCAACCCCTGACAAAAAAAAAAAAACAAAATACAACCCCACACCATAATCACCCCTCTACCAAACTTTACACTTGGCACAATGCAGTCAGGCAAGTACTATTCTCCTGGAAACCACCAAACCCAGATATGCCCATTTGTCAGACAGAGAAGCGTAATTTGTCACTCCAGAGAACATGTCTCCACTGCTCTAGGGCCCAGTGGAAGCATGCTTTACACCATTGCATCCGACGCTTTTCATGCCTAGGAGCTTTATTTTATACACCTGTGGCCATGACCTCCACCTGGAACACCTGAATCCAATGATTTGGAGGGAGTATACACACACACACACACACACTATATAAAACAAATACAGATTTTATAGTCAAACATCTATTCCTAACTCTGAAAAGTACTTTCTATTGCTCTCAGCCTTACTGATCTGAATTTGTTTTCTTTATGGTCCCACTGCATGAAGGACTGTAGCCACCCTATTTTGCGCTCTCCCAAGATGGACTAGGTACTATGGAATTTGTAGTGTGCATAGAGCAGTGCACATGACTGCAACTAATGCACATTGTTCATTCCAAACTAACGAGGAAGAAAGGAGAAGTTCAGGGAGGCAGAAACACAGTAAAACAATTTCATAAAAAAATAAGATTACAGACCAAAAAAGTAGTGGATGTTTGTGGACTATTTTGGAGAAGGATATAGTTTAGAGTCACTTTAACATTACTTTTTCTTAGAAAAGGAAACATTATGGAAACAAAGGCCTCTATTGGTGGCTATTTATAAAAGCATTTAATAACCAGCAAAAGAAGCTAGGAGAAAATAGGGGTTTATGCCAAGGAGAAAAAGGGGTGGATTTCATACTAACTACATAGTACAAGGGCAAACTATTCTATTTATATTCAACCTTGTATGCCCTCACGCTATTTTTTTATTTTTTAAAAACAGTTATTGGTAAATCTAAAGATTTTATAATGACATTGTAGTATGTGTGATGACTTTAGAGACACTATGCACAGATTGAAGGGCCAACACTCCGATCAAGAGCATAGCCTACAAGGGAGGAGCAGCTTTTCCTTGTGTCCAGAATACTGCCATTAGTTTTTGGGCTTCTGTATACTGCCTGTTTTTTCCTGGTGTTAAAAACTGACAACTACTGTCAGATAAATTCCCATGTAAATATTGTGCATTTAGCTGTTCACAACCCAATTTGGCAGGAATACAAATGTCTTTAGTAACTGCCAGCCTTTTACCTCTTAATGGTTTCTGTTCCTCTATATCAGACGTTCGCAGCTCATCAATGCTGAGATCCAAAATCCATTCTGGTTCCTCTTCAATTGATCTAAGAACTTCCACTGGTGCAATATCCAGTTTGCCATGTGGATGGCGTCTCTGCATTTCTGGTGTTTTACTTTCTTTTGGGACTTTTTTTGTGCTTCCTCTCCCTCTCCTAGATTTGCTCTTTGCAGTCACCTCCTCATCATCAGATTCTGAAGCTGCAGGTAATGAACAACTCTTTGCAGGCCTTCTTCTGGATGCAGGTTTGGCCTGCTCTGTTTGCTTTTTGCTGTTCCAAGTAGGGTCAGTATCAGTGTTGTCTGGCATTTCCAGGTCACTATCACTGAAGTCAACCTGCAATGAAACGAGAATCAGTACAAAAGTATACAGCAGGGACACAAAGTAATCTTAAAATATTCTACAGACTCCTAAAAAGATGTTATTTTGACAGTAAAAAAACATAAGGAAACATGAAAGAATATGTTCTCACTTTTATTACTGTTCTAGTTTTACGTCTTCTAGGTGCTCTTGGCTCCATTTCTGGCTTGGGAGAGTCTTCATTATACACGGAAACTGAGCTCTTTTTGCGAACTGCTGATACAACTGGTTTTGTTTGCGCTGTCAAGCTGTCCTTCCACAGTATTATCGGAGTCTTAATAGACCCAGATGGAAGGTAAGGTTCACTTTCATCTGCAGAAAAGAGATCATGGACACTTGCAACTGAAAGTTTCTGGGCTCTTTTCTTTTTATTAGAAATAGCACTATTATTGATCTGGTTGCTCTTTGAGCTCATGTCAGCTACTCTCTTCCCAATGTTAGGTTTCCAACCCCATACCTGCATAAAAAGATCAGCAATGCAGCCTCCATGCTTAGTGGCAAGTTTGTAAACAGAGTCTAAAGCTTTGGCCAGTAAAAGGTTTGCCTTCCATTGTTTGGAAAAAGAGGCTGGTCGTGAAGAGACAAAGTCCAAGCCTTCTCTAAAATGCCTTCTGGAAGATTAGGAGGAGGACTCATATGAACCATTGATTGGTATATTCGAGCAATGAGCCCATCATTCATCCCCAGGCTTACAGACTTACAATCTTTAATATTCATAATATTCTTCAGGATCCCAGAGAAGTACGGATTTAAAAACTGACTACGTTTGAGAGCTAAGCGCAACAGATCCCTGCACTGATGTTCATTCTCAGCCTTAGCTACCAGCCATCGAGTGCAGAGTAAGGCAAGTATCAGGTCAGAACATAGTGGACAGGTACATCCCAGTGTATGAGACACAAAATTTGGAAGAGTCTTTTCAGAAGGAGCAGTAATTGTTGGGGAATCAGGGGGCTTCATCAAGTCTCTTGTTTGAACAAATTGAAACTGGACCCCATTAAGAAAATCTTCTGCTGGAGGGCTAGGAGTGAAATCTGGGGTCTTTTTCTTGTTTGATTTCTTTCCTTTGGAAACTTTAATCTTCACCTCTTTTTGCTTAGCTTTAGCTGCGAAATCTAACAAGAAGCAATATTAAGCATCAAGTTAATTCAACTTAATTATGCTATTAAATAAATTATATATTCCATCTGAGAATAAATTTAGTGCTTTAAAAAACATACCTGTGCATGACTCCATGAGAAACACCACATATTGCAGATCTTCCTCACACAGCTGGAGCTCTGCGCGTAGAGTCTCCAATTCTGCCTTTCTTACCAGGAAATCTGCACAACTGTATAGACAAAGTTTTAGATAAATGTCACAAGAGGTATACTTAAAATAAGCCCCAATGAGAAAATACCAATTATTAATTGACACTTCATTAATAGGGATGTGATCCTACATTCAACATATTGCTGAACACTGGTGAACAGGGGTAAACGGTATACCATCATGAGGGCATATACATTTGCGATATGTAATACAGTACATGTTGGATTTCACAATACTCCCAAGGTTGCACAATATACAAAATACCATATTTTTGGCTCCATAAGACGCACCTAGGTTTTAGAGGAGAAAAACAAGAAAAAAAATATTCTGAACCAATGGACTGCCGACACAGTACAGGAAAGGGACCAGAGACTGCCGACACAGTACAGGAAAGGGACCAGAGACTGCCGACACAGTACAGGAAAGGGACCAGAGACTGCCGACACAGTACAGGAAAGGGACCAGAGACTGCCGACACAGTACAGGAAAGGGACCAGAGACTGCCGACACAGTACAGGAAAGGGACCAGAGACTGCCGACACAGTACAGGAAAGGGACCAGAGACTGCCGACACAGTACAGGAAAGGGACCAGAGACTGCCGACACAGTACAGGAAAGGGACCAGAGACTGCCGACACAGTACAGGAAAGGGACCAGAGACTGCCGACACAGTACAGGAAAGGGACCAGAGACTGCCGACACAGTACAGGAAAGGGACCAGAGACTGCCGACACAGTACAGGAAAGGGACCAGAGACTGCCGACACAGTACAGGAAAGGGACCAGAGACTGCCGACACAGTACAGGAAAGGGACCAGAGACTGCCGACACAGTACAGGAAAGGGACCAGAGACTGCCGACACAGTACAGGAAAGGGACCAGAGACTGCCGGACACAGTACAGGAAAGGGACCAGAGACTGCCGGACACAGTACAGGAGAGGACCAGAGACTGCCGGACACAGTACAGGAGAGGACCAGAGACTGCCGGACACAGTACAGGAGAGGACCAGAGACTGCCGGACACAGTACAGGAGAGGACCAGAGACTGCCGGACACAGTACAGGAGAGGACCAGAGACTGCCGGACACAGTACAGGAGAGGACCAGAGACTGCCGGACACAGTACAGGAGAGGACCAGAGACTGCCGGACACAGTACAGGAGAGGACCAGAGACTGCCGGACACAGTACAGGAGAGGACCAGAGACTGCCGGACACAGTACAGGAGAGGACCAGAGACTGCCGGACACAGTACAGGAGAGGACCAGAGACTGCCGGACACAGTACAGGAGAGGACCAGAGACTGCCGGACACAGTACAGGAGAGGACCAGAGACTGCCGGACACAGTACAGGAGAGGACCAGAGACTGCCGGACACAGTACAAGGGACGACAAGGAAACTGTGGACCTTTGGGGAGGGAGGGGAGCGGGTACCTGAATTTGACAGGTACCCGCTCCCACTTCCGCGGAGGTGTCCTCCCCTTTAGTGCGGGAACCCGGCTGTGACAGTCAAGTGCTCACTGCGAATGCGCAAGAAGCGCTGCGCTTTGTGAATGGCCCGGCATTTTCTGGGACACGTCTTATGGAGCGAAAAATATGGTAAATGAAATGTAGGTTAGGTACCCTAAACCGGTTTGCCACCCTCTTCATTGCAATACCACTGGTGATAATGTAATTAATCAAATGCAGTAGAGCACATGGCAGGACAAACTGAAATCCTTGGAAAGGGAAAAAAAAAAAAAAAAAAAAAAAAAAGGTAGTAAGTCAAGTATTAAACACCTATGCTCTCTATACTGTATCATAGTTGTTACAAGAATAAGTGTATTTTATTCTCTAGCAGCATGCTCTATTTAGTGGAAGTCATCTACAATTTATAGTGGCAAAATGTTTATTTCTGTAGATTTTGGTAACAGATTGTCCTGATACATATACGGTCAGAGAGAAGATTACAGATGCCACCAAGGCAAGGCAAAGGTTGTGACAGAGGTACAGAAGATGAACCAAAGTTTACAACATACTATAAAACACAACTGAATTGAGTCTTTCCTGCCTATGATCTGTACTGTATAGCAATGTTTCCTAGCACGTATATATTAAAAAAGTCCTTCCCTTGAGAGCCACTTTGCACAGACAGGGATTAGTCGCAGACACCATGTTTCTTTCCTGCGTTTCTTCAACGAGCACTGTCGCAGTTTCAACGCGGAGTCTATCACCTTCTTATGTCTTCTCTGCTCTTTCACAGGTAAATGACTGCAAGCAATATCCATCTGTACATCTGCCCCATCTCCCTATAAATTTAGTTCAGCTTATGGGGAAGTCAAAAACACCATGTTTCTTTAACAAGTGTTACAGTTTCAACACCGCAGTTTAAAGCAGGGCAACTAAAGTGTATGTACTCTCTTTCACTTTGGACGGATGGCAAGCAAGATCAACATTTGACATTTCCTTTCCTATGAATTCTGATTCCCACTAATAAGCTCCCTCTACTCTTCCTTCTCATATTAGTGTTCTCTGTCCTCGAATTGTCCTTAATTCACCCCATCATCTCCTACCCACAGCTTATACATATCACCCTCACTCCTACCTTCCCCCTTTTACTCTACCCATCACCTCTTGCAAATACTGAACCCACATACTGACACAAACACCAGGGCAGTAAAATGTGTGCTCATATACAGTACATGCAGCTCCCATCTTACGTTCCCCACTCACCTTCTCCTAATCTCTGGGAACATCTCCCCCAATCCTGGCCCTCCATTTTCTAGCTGCAAACCCCATATCTGGCACCCTTCCTCCTCTGGCAACAGCCGCAATCTACGCAGTTTAATTCCTATCCCCCCTACCCCCACTTCCAAAAACCAGCCGCCCAATCTTATGGCCCCTCTTGAATGCCAGGTCATTCTGTAACAAGCTCACATCTGTGCGTGACCTTTTTATCTCCCATTGCTTTAACATACTTGCCATAGCTGAAACCTGGCTTCAAGATTCGCCTTCTCTTGCTGCCCTCTCCCATGGTGGCCTCCACTGGACTCACTCACCCAGACCTAGTGGATGGAAAGGAGGTGGAGTTGGATTCCTTCTATCCCCACAGAACTCCTACCTACCCCTCCCTCTTTTGTTTTGAGATGTACTGTATTCGTCTGTTTTCTCCAATTTCTCTGAGGATTGCAGTGATTTAGCAGCCTCCTGGACCAGTATCACACTTTTTTTGATGACTTCTCCACCTGGCTACCCTACTTTCTCTCCTCTGAAATACCCACTATCATTCTTGGTGACTTTAACATCCCCGGTTAATGTTAGCAGTCCAGCTACAGCTCAGCTTCTCAACTTAACCTCATCTTTTGACCTAAACAATGGACCCATTTCCACTCACTCGAATGGTAAAACCCTTGACCTGGTTTTCTACCATCTCTGCACTCCTGGCAGCCTCACTAACACCCCTTTCCTTTCTGATCACAACCTCATCACTTTCACAGTATCCTTGTCGCCAACCACCTACCCCACCAAAATAGCAAATGGTTACTTGTAGAAACCTTTGCCACTTTAAACCCTTCTCTTCTCTATTCTGCTACTGACCACCTCTAGCAAAATCTCTCCCCTTTCCTGTCTGAACCTGGCCACCTCTGTCTACAATAGTTCACTTTATCTTCACTGGACACACTTGTTCCTCGAACTACAAATAAAAGAAAAAAATAAATATAATAATAATAATAAGGCCCCGACTGTTACAAACTTGGCAAACTGACACCAGAAATCTCAAGAGACATTGTCGTGCTCTTAAACAACTGTGGCGTAAAACCAAATTCCTGCAGAACTTCACCCCTATATAAATCTGCTCTCCTAAAATACAACTCTTGCCTCCATGATGTCAAACAAACCTACTTTGTCTCTCTTATCAATACCTTGTCATCCAGCCCTTGTAAATTCTTTGCTACCTTTACTTCTCTGCTTTGTCCTCTACCCCCTTTACCCACTAACTCACTCACTGCCTAAGAGATTGGCAATCACTTCAAAGACAAGATTGATGCAATATGTGAAGACACATCCACTATACAGATATTTTCCCCACTTAGCATACCATATCTAACAGCACAGACAACACTTTCCTCTTTTTAACTGGCTACTATTGAAAAGGTTACCAAAAACTTCTCAGATGCCCACCTAACCAACTGTCCCCTAGATCTTGTGCCCTCGCAACTACTACGGTCACCCTCTTCTTCTATCTTATGCTCTCTTACTCACATCTTCAATCTCTATCTACTGGCACATTTCCCTCCCCCTAAAGCATGCACAGATCACTCCCATATTTAAGCCCTTACTGGACCCCCACCAACCTGAACAATTTAAGACCCATCTTGCTGCTCACATTCACCTCTAAAAAAGTTTAGAACCTTCTTGACCCTTTACAGTCTGGCTTTTGCTTGCAGCACTCCACAGAAACTGACTAAAGATAGTTTTTTTTGGAGGTTACAAAATAAATTACTGTATCACCCAATATATGGCTTCCATTCAGTAGCCCAAAGAGGCATACAAAAAAGAAGGGTTTGTGAAAAGGAATTCACAGAAAGCGGCTACATTATGAACAGAATGTGATACTCAGAAAAATTTCCAAAAATTATGCTTTATTACATATAAATATTTGACATATGGGCAATCGCCCTGGTTTACCATCACCTCAGTATGAGACAATACACACAGACCTAAAACCATATAAAATAACACCAAGACCGGTCTGGATAGATGTGCTGCAAAGACAATGACCACTGAAGTCTAAAGTCTTTGTAGCACTGGCACATAGAAAAGACTTTAGACTTCAGTGGTCATTGTCTTTGCAGCACATCTATCCAGACCGGTCTTGGTGTTATTTTATATGGTTTTAGGTCTGTGTGTATTGTCTCATACTGAGGTGATGGTAAACCAGGGCGATTGCCCATATGTCAAATATTTATATGTAATAAAGCATAATTTTTGGAAATTTTTCTGAGTATCACATTCTGTTCATAATGTAGCCACTTTCTGTGAATTCCTTTTCACAAACCCTTCTTTTTTGTACTCCACAGAAACTGCCCTACTAAAACTCACTAATGATTTACTAACTGCTAAAACCAATGACCACTACTCCATTCTCTTACTACTAGACCTCTCTGCAGCCTTTGATACTGTTTACCACACACACGCCTTCTCAATAAACTCCACTTTCTTGGCCTCCAAGATTCTGCGCTATCCTGGTTCTCCTCCTATCACAGCGCTCCTTCAGTGTAACCTATAACTGTCTCCACCTCTCCACTTCCTCTTTTGGTAGGGGTCCCCCAAGGCTCTGTTCTTGGACTCCTCTTTATCTACACCTCCTCTCTTGGTCACCTGATAACCTCCCACAGCTTCCAATACCATCTTTATGCTGATGACACCCATCAAGATCAATAATGCAACTATCAGTCTCTTCCCTCAAGCCAGAATACTAGGTGTAATCCTAGACTCTGACCTATCCTTTTAGCCGAAAATTCAGTTGCTGTCCAAATCTTGTTGACTTCACCTCCCCAACATCTCTAAAATTTGCCCCTTTTTAACTAATGAAACCAAACTACTCAATCACTTCCTTGTTATCTCTCGCCTTGACTATTACAAACTCCATTTTCATAGGCCTACCTCTCCGTAGGCTATCCCCTCTTCAGTCTATCAAGAATGCTACTGCCAGAATCATCTGCCTCAGCAACCGCTCAGTGTCTGCCACCTCTCTCTGCCAATCCCTCCACTGGCTTCCAATTGCCCAGCAAATTAAATTCAAAATACTGATAAACAACATACAAAGCTATTCACAACTTTTCCTCAAACTACATCACCAATGTCTCCGAATATCATCCAAACCATGCTCTCAAGTTCCTTTGTCTCCTCCACCCATGCTTGTCTCCAGAGCCTCTCTCACCCCCTGAAACTCTCTACCTCAATCTGTCCAACTATCCCCTACTTTGGCTGCCTTTAGACGATCCCTGAAAATTAAACTCTTCAGGGAAGCCTATCACGCCTCTAATTAAACATTTATCACTGCCATCAGCTCATCCCCCAAAGTTATAACCTTTTGAATCACTTGCCCCACCCTATTAGATTGTAAGCTCTTATGAGCAGGGCCCTCCTTATCTCCTTGTTTTTTTTATTGGTCACGGTTGGCGATCTATAAATCCTGAATAATAAGATTAGTCACTGATTGGTTCCCGTAAGTAACAATTATAGTGGTTCCCCATCAGGTGATCACCATGTCAGCTATGACAGGGATCACATTCACGCTGGTGGCTTAATTTATGAAATAAGCCTTCAACCTGCAGATGGCACTGTGGCATAAAAGGGTCAAAATATTCATCTGTTCAATACTGAAATTGATAGATACAATTACAATATTAAAAAAAAAATAAACAAACATCATTACAAAACACAAATTAGTCAGTATCGAGTTATCAAGTTAACCAGAGCTGCAAAATTTTTTTGGGCTTCAGTTATCATCACAAAATGGTTAAATAATTTTAAAATTAAATTAAATAAAAAAAAAAAAAAAAGTTAGTTGTAGCTCCCAAGTGCTTTAACATCAGGATGGAGTCTTAACTGTTTGGATATTTCCAAACACTTAAAACTGCAGGAATAGGCTGAAAACTCAACTTTAGCAAATATGGTGGACTTTTGTTTTCACAAAATTTGCCTGATCTAATAGTACCTAGAAATTGACAAAAAAATAGTAACTACTGAATATGCAACAGCAAATTAAAATATGATCCAAAGTGCCTTAAAGTGGTAGTAAACTCATTAAAAAAAAAACAATACAATACAAAACAATACAGGGGAATATCATTATGTGCTAGTATGCATCTCATACTGGCTTCTGCTCTGTAGAATATCTCCTACATGTAAGCTTTATTATAAGCTTACCTGTAGGTAAAAATAGAAAACAAGAGTTTACTACCACTTTAAGCTTGTTGGATTAATGACTTTTAGTTTATATTTTTTAGCGGATAATGAGAAATATTATTCAGTTATACGACTTCCTTCTCTACATCCTTCACATACTACAGAATGACAGTTGATAATAGAATTGATAGGCAAAGACTGCAGTATGTCTTCACTCTCTGCTGAGACCTGACTAAATCCACCATTTCTGTGAATCCCTAAAATCCTATCATGATATTCTTTGTTAAATAACCATTTATTTCATTTACAGCTCCTTAGGGAAATACTAACGCACAGTAACATATTAAGGAAATGTTAAGCCATAGTTCATACAATGTAAAACATAACGGTTAAGCAAGCAAAAAATATAAGAACATTTAGGAGATTAGAAAGGATTGACATTATTGCTGAGAGTGCTTTTTATTTATAAATGCCTATGTTATGTTATATTTTAAACACAACTGCCCACACCTGTATATCTCAAGCTGCTTATCCATGCCTCTGATAAAGATGCATTGATGCCAATTCAGTAAAGGAATTGACAATCTCACTCAGATTTTGTGAATGTTCACTTTAATTATCCAATCATATGACAAGCAAATCCCTGACTACTTAGAAAATCCAATGATGTGCAAACTAAATAAGTAAACAGGAATTTGGTTGTCACATGATTGGATAACTGAAGTGACTATTAACACAATATTTTGAGTGAAGATTCTCAACTTTAGTAAAATCAGCCAAAACAATATGACATATAGGGAAAGGTAAGGCTGCAAAAAACAAATTTTAATCTATAAAAAAAAAAAAAGGGAGTCACAGGGAGGGTAAGAGAAAACAGCCAAATGTTCAGATTACATAAAAATACATTAATTCTGAGTTCAGAGTATTCTAAAGTATCTCCAGGCAAAATTTTTTAGTTCTTTTTGAACAGAGGGGAAGGTTCGACCCCCACAAAGTTTTATATATATTTGGAAAGGTAAAAAATAAATGATTTCCCCCATAAACTTATTACAAAGCTTAAGAAATGAACAACAAATTTCAACTGAAGCCTCATGATATATTATGCAAAATGTTAGTTTGCTTATCCATCGAATACATAGTTCAACAAGGGGGTTGGACGTTTTGATTGCATTATGTGAAGTAGCCAAGAATGTAAATAGAAGCATGCAATCAAAACCTCCATCTTGACACATGGACGCTTTGTGGACCCAAGGACTAGTAATGTAATGATCAGTTTTTTATGAACATTATGCTTTGCTGTGTGTTGTCACTTAGCTCTGCCATGTATTGCTGCTTTGTGGATGTATATCTGATTTGCAAATTACTGTCAAGCCCCATTTGACTAGTGTTTCCACAGCAGTGCAACCTTACACTTCACAAAAACACCCTTGGCTCTACTCTATTTAGTATGTGCCTAACAGATTGCTGTACAGCTTTGCTTTTGTTGGACTAATCTTTAGCTACCTGCTGTTAGAAGTTATGTTATTTAATCTGGAACAAAACTAAAAGCACCTCTATATTATGCAAAATTTTTATTGTTGATCTAAGGATCAGTACAGGAGGGCAATCTCTTCAGAGTGATAACTGGGTAATTTTCTAAATAAATATAATATTTATTCCCTTTTAGAGTATTAGAATCCATGGCCACTTATTGCTATGGGATATATACCATTTTACATAGGTTTGTTTCAACAAATGTGGCATGCGCCAATTTTTGCTCTGTCAGGACTATTTATGCTAACCTTGAAGCTTTGTATCTGACTCCATTTAATTTTCTTCTGCTCTGTATCCCCATTAAGGAGATTCAACCTCTGTTTGTACTGGTTACCATGGTGAGTGGAAATCCAGAATTTTACATCTATCCCATGTTAAAAAACATAAGATTTTGTTACTTACTGTCGCATGCTATGAAGGGTTTTGGCTAATCTCAGCCCTTCAAGGCAGAAGGACTTTGCTTCCGACACACTGCCAAGGGAGCTCAAAGTGATGATAAGATCCTGAGAGCAGCTTAACAGGTCAGCAAGTACTTGCCACTTCTGGAGAAGGTTCTCACCTAAACACACCGAATAGAGAAAACTTAGTAAAAAAAAGAGAGAATGGTTCATAATTAAACCTAAAAACGTTAAAGAGGTCCTAATGCTGATCATACCATTATCCACAAATCGCATTTCTGTTGTAGACTTTGGAGCAGACAACACATCATTTCCCACTAGGAGAAGGACAATGCTCCTGAGTAACTTATGTGCCTCTGTGAGAGCAGTTTCTGGATTATGCCAACCTGTAAAAACCAAAGATGGAAGAAAGCACATAGAAAATTCAAATAGGGGTAGGAAGCCAGAAAAAAAAATAAATAAAAAAATAAAAAAAAAGCTTGGCTTTAAATAACATTATGACTACCCTAGCCATTCAATGCTTAAAATTGTAAAAAGTGCTGAAATACTCATCCAAAAATCCATTTTAAAAAGTACAAACTCTAGACCAAAGGGTTAGCACATCTGTCCAGTTCTTAACATTGTGCTAAGTCCCCAGTAGTGATCCACTCTTATCACTCATCATGATTGCCTTGACCCTCTTTCTTGGATCGGGCTTCTGGACCCTTGGGCTCCTACCCCCTACCCCCAGGATTTCAGTTTTTTGATCCGGCTCAGCTAATTATATCACACAAGCATTTTTAGGTGATGTACAGTAAACCCATATATACACACACATTCTATACTTACGTTCCAGGAAGGGTGACATTTGTTTTGAAACCCTTTCCCCTATTACTGTACATATTACACCTAGAGTTCTGACTACACATGACCTCTATTTTTTCCTTCTTTTGGTATATACTGTATATTTGTATTTCATCTGTTTGTTGTCCATAGGTTCTTGTTACTCTGCTAGCCTGGGTGTCCACTGAAGGGATCAGGTCAGATATACTGGAATATTATGTATTTAATAGCCGACATTAAATATGGTCACTTCATAGATGTAAGTTGAGAGAATAATGTTCATTTGATTGTGCGATAATCGCAAAGTAGATTTATGAATTACAATGTTATTTATTTGTTGTAGAGTAAACCAAGTCTCTTCTTCCCTGAGGAAGAATTGCAAAATGCGTCGGACTGTCCTCACTTCTGTTTCAGTGAAAGATAAACCTATATAAACCGGTTACTCCTGAAGTAATGGGACTATACAGAGGCACTAGAATAACAATATTACTTTATATGTAGATACGGTTAGCCCTTGTGTTTTATGATATAAGTACATCTGGATACTTTTTTTATGCCTAATAAAACTATTTGGGATTTTACTCTTCAGTGTACACACGCACGCACGCACGCACGCACGCACACACACACACACACACACACACACACACACACACACACACACACACACACACACACACACACACACACACACACACACGCGCACAGTGAATGCCTACAAAGTACATAAATATTCATTTAGAGGTTGGAGTTTTCAGGGATGATGGCATTCCCCTTGGGGTGAAATCCCTTCTACAGTTTCTATTACTACCACTTGTCATGGTGTTTGGGAATTCTCTCTTTGGCAAATATAGTAGAAAAAGCGAACAAAACTGCAAAATTAGCATGCAGAAGTTTTGACATATCAACAAAATGCCCTGTGTATCTTTATAAATAAAGAACTCTCAAAATTAATTTATTTACCCTGGGCACAGAGCTTTTTGTAAAGATCTGGAAGCAACATTGTTGGTGGAAGTCTGAGATATGCGGAGAGTTCCTGCAAGACTTGGACTTTTAAAAGGTACCAGGCTTTGGAGGACTTTTGCAGAGATGGGTGCTGAAGAAGACTTGTAAGAACTTCTACTCCGTTCTTAACCTGCATCAATACATAGAGATTTACATATAGACATGCACAAAATGTACAGATTTTCACACACAGGGTAACTGAATTTTTTGAAAAAAAAAAAAAAAAAAAAAAGACAAAGTCCACTGTGCAGCTTGTCCTTGGCTTCAAGAGTCTTCCCAGTGCACTAAGACAGCTGTATTTGCAAGCCCTGGCTCCACAATACACATACTGAAAGGTGCATATTGAGGTGTCATGCTCGTTTTTAGTAGCCTAATAAACGTTATACTTTTGCAGGTGCTACTTTAGTATGACGCAGAAAAAAAAATTATTATTTAGCTGGTCACGCACAATGCATTTTCCACTGTGTTCTAGACCACACTGCTCTAGTCCCACTTCTTGACCAGATCTCTCAGTCGGTATCTCAAACTCTGTCTGTTCACAGTCTACCTCTGTCTCTCAATAGTCGCTGTCAGTTTAGATGCCAATTTGATATAGTCACCTGTATTTCAGGAACAGGCAGACTTGGACACACTCACAGCACAACCTCCTCAAACCACTTCCTTGGAAGTGGTTAAGGAACCCTGACTGCAGGATCCCTCCTTTGTGGCAGAATTCACCTGTTAAAGTGACACTAAGCTGTGGTTTAAAAGGAAAAGTGTTACTCAATTATGTATCAAGTCAAAAAAAGTATCTTCTATTGCTCTCAGTTCCCTTCAAAACTCCAATTCCTTTTTTTTGCTGTTGTGTTCTGGCAAAGTGCAGGAATTGGGGCTGATCTGAGGTCTAAATAGAAACATGATTTGTGTGTGCACCAGTTATAATAGTAAATTAATATGTTTATTTGCCATTAGTGGTACAATTATCAGTGCAAACAAATTATGATTATGGCACACTACTATTCACTGGCTCACAAGTTTAGTGCTTGTAAAAATTAGACTAAGGGCTGGTTCACACCAGATGCAGTCCAGTGCGTTTCTTTTTTCTACATCAAAAATGCATGCGCAGTGTTTTCCCTGTATTCCAATGTCCCTAGTTAACACCAGTGCAGTCAGTTCCAGGTGAAAAAAAAAAAAAAAAAAAAAGTTTTTTGTGGTGTGAACTGGTTCTTAGTGTGAAAAGTTGATCTAGCGCATTTGTAGGCCTTCACAATTACCTCATTATTGATCCGGTAAAGATGGCTGCGGTGAAGCTCACAACAGCAATGAGCCAACACATATGTCTCAATGGTGCTGTCCGCATGCTGCAAAGTGGTTTCTGCCTCTTGGAGAGTAATCTAAGTCAAGAAAGGCAAAAGGTAACTACTCAAAACGTGTTCACAAAAACACTCACAAATGTACACAGATTACAACTGGAGCAAAAGTAACACTAAAATGTTTGCCCTACCTGCTTTAACAGCCTTACCTGAGCACATTCAGTACTCTCCAAGTAAAACAAAAGTTTTGTTAACTGGCAGAGAGCTCCAGCTTCACGTATAAAATCCCCCAAACATTTGCACAGATATCTTACTAACTGGAAGCTTTGTATGGCCTGCAAAGGCTGCAAGAAAATAAAAACAAAAAACACTTACTTATGTTCAGCATTTTCTATATGGTTTACAAGCTTCATACTTTAAAATTTTAAAAATGCATTTATAATAAAAAGTGACAGCAAGATCTGAGTGGATTACAAAAGAAATAAAGATTAAAAAAAGATCCTGTTAAATAGCTTAATCTGTTCATTAAATAGAAAGGGAAAAACAAATCTTAAGCTGTCCATCTATTTATTTTTTTGTTCAACCAGCAGACTGAACAATGAATAAAAGCGATTACCCCTTCCACATATTCAAGGTGGATGAGGGAATCACTCCTACTGTACGATTGTGTTTCTCATGGCAGAGAGCCAGCAGACCACAATGATCAGTGTTGTCTGCAGCACTGATGGTTTGGGAAAAAGCAGACAAGGTGGTTGTACAGAAGTCGATAGATTGAATTCTGTGCAATCAGGCTGCCCATACATTTCTCAAAATTTGGCCAGTTCCATGTATGGCAAACTTTAGATTTATGTTGGTTATACACATGGCAATTTCAAATATTTCAAACCAGTTTTGGATACCAAAAACAAAACAAGACTTTTTAGGCCTCGTTCATACCATACATGCATAAAAACAGATGGAAACTGATGCACAGATGTCACTTGCAGAGACATAAGTTTACAACAGTTTTCATGCGCGGTCCGTGTGTTTTATACACGTTGCAGATTCCTAACACAGAAAACATTTGCATGTGGTACCAGTGTTGTGGTGTGAACAGGGCACATAGAGAACAACTGATTTGTTCTGACCTTGCAGAATGCGTGCAGAAAAACTGATGTCTCTGCACCACGATATGAACAAATGCCCTGCTTCACTGACCTTTAGACTTTGGAGGGACTGTGACTCTGGCGAGTAGAAAATGACCCAAGATCTAGTTGGTAGGGGGTTAGCGGCCTAGCCCCGTTTGAGTCAGTGGGAGGAACAGTCCCAAAAGGGTTGGTTAAAGAGCCACATTCAGCCCATTGGCCACAGATGGAGACTACTGCATTAAAGTGTAAACCCAAATTTCGGGGGGTTTTCGGTTGATCAATATATTGCAGTCTGTGTTCCAGATAAGTGTACCAATTGTCCTGCTGACCAATATAGACACTTGTTCTGGTGACAGCCAAGAGGGAAATTCCCCCACTTTTTAGAGATTTCCTTTCATTTCCTAAGGTGTTTCTGGGGCAAGAAGTGAAGGGAAATCTCCCTCGCAGAACACACACTGCAAAAAATAAGCCAAAACAGAAATTTAATCATTCCCTGTTCTATCCAAAACTTAAAAAAAAAAAAAAAAAAAAAAAAAAAAAGTGGACTATACACACACTAACTGTGAATGAGACATTGAAAGACCGGTAAATATTTCATGGCTTGGTTTACCATCAATGAATTTAACAGATTGGGGTTTAGCAGAAGATTCTAGCGTGTTCTTCCACTACAGGTTAACCTATGCATCCAATAGTCCAGCTTTTAAACTTAACTCCTTGACACCGACGTCACACAAATATGCGGCGCACAGAACTGGTCTTTATTCCATGGGGCCGCATATTTGCGTACCTGTCTTTGTGCTGGGAGCGTGCTGCAGTGTGCTCCCAGCACAAAGACCAGGGTGTCACTGAGAGCCCCAGGTCTTGTTCTAACAATCTGGATCCAGGACTCCCGATTCCGGGTCACATGATCGCTGTGATAGCCTCTGATTGGCTATCCCAGTGATCAGTCACTGTACAGCCCCCCCTCTTGTTTTTTTTTCCCATCTATGAATGGAAGAGAGAGATACATTGCATCTCTCCCTCCTTG